GCCAGCACGGCCGGCGACAGCGCTGCCCGCTCTTGTGAGCCCGGCACGGCCGGGGACCGTGCTGCCCGCTCTTGTGAGCCATCAGATGGGCCACACGCCTGCAGGGCTGCAGCCCGGCACTCCGCTCCGAGTAGGAACCTGTTCTGGAGTGACAAGGGGCAGGAGCTTTCGCTTTGAGAAGGGATAAATACACTGAAACAAGGCAGTGGATGGAAGAAGGGCTTTTAGTCTGTAAAAATTTTAAAGTGGCGAGTTCTGTACCGGAAATGAAATAGCTCCTTGTTTCTGCAGCCACATCACAGATATGTTTTCTGGTGAAGGAGCGTGGTTTGCATGGGAGGATCTGGTGTTTAGTTGCAAACTCCCCTTAGTCGTTTCTGTGATGCAGTAGGTCATATCCTGTGGGAAAGTGAGTTTGTGTGATCTTTATACAGTAACTATATCGGAAATAATAAGTGGGTAACTCAGTTTCTGGTTATGATGTAATAATTATACTTCAGTTTTATATTTGGAATTTGATAGAAAACAGGAATTTAGGAATGTTTGCTATTTTCTGGGGTTTGTTGGTTTTTTTTTTTAAACTTTCTGTGATGGCCCATGGGATCATGTTATGTGTTACTTTTAAAACTTACTTCTTTCCTTAAAAGTAGTGTGTGTAGACTTCACATTTCTTTTTCAATTTTTCAGAGACGGGTGTACAGAACGACAACACATGTTCCTCGGGAATTAGGACAGATCATGGATTCAGAGACATTTGAAAAATCTCGTCTGTATCAGCTGGACAAAAGTACTTTCAGCTTTTGGTCAGGCCTGTATTCAGAGGTTGAGGGCACTGTAAGTACCTGAGCTGCTTTAGCATTCATACGATGTTTTTCATGTACTTAATCTGTGAAATACTTTGATTCGTAGTGATCCTGTGTAGCTGCGCTGTTGGCATTCTGGTGTCTTACGTCAGAGACTGAAATTTGGAAGGCCTAGGTTTCTGTGTTTCTTGTTTGTGGCTGTATTTGCCATATAAAAAGAAGGACTTATTCAGACAGCACTTAATTTCTTTGTGCAGTGCTGAGTCGTACTGCACAACTACAACGTATATTATATTATTATGTTTTAGTGGCACAACTAACCTGTTATGGTTTTCACTGCCAAATAATTAAGCAACATTACAATTATTTTAAATTGTTACAAATACACACCTTTTTCTGTGTTTGGAGGGATGCAACTACTTTCATTTTTAGATAAAATTTGAGTGGAAGGTAGAAAGAAAAGCCTGTGAGTACCCACGGATGCTTCTTAAGTGTGAGAGCAATTACAATGGGCAAGTAGTGTTCGCACATATGAAAAAACAGAGCCATTGATTTAAGCAAAGTATTTACATGTGTGATATACAGACAGTCTTGAAAGAAACATGTTCTCACTTACTGCTGAAATACGCTGCTCATCAGTAGCTGGACAAGAGGTTTTCTTGGAAAATGGAGTGTTGGAAAACATCCTTATGGTACCTTTTTTTGGTATGTTATAAAGATCAGAAAAAAATCTTGGTAATAGCACTTTCCCAGCTGCACTAACTGGTCTAAGATAAGAGACAGTCTGGGAGGTATGTAAAGCTGCTTCTGGTCAGCAATGTCAGCTATACACTGAAAAGGTAATACAAGCTTGGAGTAAAGTTCAGACCAGAATGAGTCAGCAGCTGGAGCACTTTGAGTGACAAAGTGGTCGTTACCTTTGGAGTAGTCCAAATAGTAGGGATAGAGAACTAAAATGATTATTTTTTTGAGGTGATAGCTTGTGAAACATGGAGAACTTCCAGCTGTGTACCACGGACTTAGCAGAGACACTGGGTGTCCAGCTCACTCGAATCTCCTGCCTGCTGCTGCTAACCTCTCAACTTGATACGCACCTTCTTAGATTTTGAGAACTTGTTCTCAGTTGTACTGAAGTCCGCTGGTTTCACTTCAGACTTGAAGAAGAGCTCATGTTTCAAAAAAACCTCGTTGCTTGCTCCACTTACTGTGATCAACCCAATAAAAAAAAAAGATGTAATACACAAACCTTGTCCTACATATCCTTACGCTGCCATGGCTGCAGCATATTTCCTAGTAGGTAAAATACCTCTGATCTGAAGGCTGCAGCAATGTTCTGGTTGTAACCAAGGCCATTCAGACAGCTTCTTCATAGATTCCTCGTTCCCGAGCCCACCTGTATGAGTTTCAACAAGGCCAAATGCCGGGTCCTGCACTTCGGTCACAACAACCCCATGCAGTGCTACAGGCTTGGGGAAGAGTGGCTGGAGAGCTGTCCAGTGGAAAAGGACCTGGGGGTGTTGGTCGACAGCCGGCTGAACACAAGCCAGCAGTGTGCCCAGGTGGCCAAGAAGGCCAACGGCATCCTGGCTTGGATCAGAAATAGTGTGGCCAGCAGGAGCAGGGAAGTGATCGTGCTCCTGTACTCAGCACTGGTGAGGCCGCACCTGGAGCACTATGTTCAGTTCTGGGCCCCTCACTACAGGAAGGACATTGAGGGGCTGGAGCATGTCCAGAGAAGGGCAGCGAGGCTGGTGAGGGGTCTGGAGAACAAGTCTTATGAGGAGCAGCTGAGGCAACTGGCATTGTTTATTCTGGGGTAGGCCGAGGGGAGACCTTATTGCTCTCTATAACTGCGTGAAAGTTGGTTGTAGTGAGGCAGGTGTAGGTCTTTTCTCGAGGTAACCAGTGACAGGATGGGAGGAAATTGCCTCAGGGAAGGTTGAGATCAGATACTAGGAAAAATTTCTTTACGGAAGGAGTGGTCAGGCATTGGAACAGGCTGCCCAGGGCAGTGAGGGAGTCACCATCCCTGGAGGCGTTCAAAAACCGTGCAGATACGGCACTTGAGGACATGGTTTAGTGGTGGACTTGGCAGTGTTAGGACTGTTGGACTTGATGATCTTAGAGGTCTTGTCCAACCTAAATGACTCTGTGATTTTATTCTACAGTCACGCTGATGTCCCTGATGTGCAGCTTCTTCTCTACATAATGTGTGATGGCGAGTTACTGCTCCTTTCCATGATGCTGAGCTCTGTCTTTCTGTTTCTCAGAGTCTGTCCTGGGATTATCAGATTCCAGCAGAGCTAAAATGGTGTGGCCTCTACTGTCTGTGTTTGCCACTTACTTAGACTGTACACTGCGTCTTTTATTGGCTTTGGGAACTGCCTGAAGTGGAATGAGGCTGTCGTGGCCAAAGTTGGTGAAATTGGTTGACAGTTTTGCAACATTTTGCTTTTAGGAGGTGGAAGTATGAATCATTAACGTAGCAAGTTAATTGAAGGGGAGATGCTGTGTTAGAATTTCTAGTATGCTTTATTTCAGCCACTACTTATGTGGGTTTCTTTGTAACTAATAAGTAGTATCAGCATCACCGTATAGCTGTCTTGGTTCAGGGGTTGGTACTTCTGGGATTTCCAGCTCTGCAGCTTACAGGTAGTCTGCAAAGGAGAAACAAGCTTGCTTTGGTCCTTCCTATCCCCTGCTGACACTTAAATGCACCCTAAGAGTTATAACAGTACGCCCTTTAAAAATAAAGAAATAAAAACCTGGAACTGTCCATACTGAAAGGCTGCCTGCTTGAAAGCCGCTTTTTATACATACAGTGATGTACCACTTGCTAAGAGAGTAAATGTGAGACATTTGGAAGTCAGGCTGTTTAGCAAACATGACCAGTCCCCTCGAACTGCCATTAGCGCTGGCTTCAGTGGCTCCGCCAGGCCCTGTTCCTCCTGTGGGGCAGGAGGCACTGCTAGGCAGGCACAAGGAGGGGAGAATGAAGCTGTCTTAAAGTGGCTGAAGCAGCACTAATACCAAAAGTGAAATGATGGCTGTGTTTTGAGTGCCTTTCTCGGGGTAAGGAGTGCAGGTGAGACCGTCCCGCTGCAGTCAGGCTGCTGCTTGCATACACCTCCTAGAGATGGTGCCTTATACAGCCACAGGGCGAAGGAGTTCTAAGGTCTGCTCAAAAACACACCTTATGTCGGGAGCCAATATAGCAGCAAAGTCTGCAGTAAATGGGCTTGGAAATATGCGAGTATTTCCTAGGGGGAAAAAAAACGAAGCTTGACCTGATCTCTACTTCTGTAAAGTGAAAATGAACCATTGCCAAATACTCCAGGCTTTCTTTATGCACTGCTAAGATCAGCGGGGGATGAAAAGCCTAATTATAAAACTTTTCTCATTCACTCTTAAAAGGTCCTTATGATGAAGTTTTGGTAGAATAAGATGACGACTGGTTTCATATTGCCTTTGTGGTATGCGTTTCTGTTTTCCAGATGATTCTTCTCTGTGGAGGAATTCCTTTTCTCTGGAACCTGTCTGGTCAGATCTCTGGTCGTGCTGGTTTTGGACCAGAATATGAGGTAAGCAGTCTTTAACTTTTAATGAAAACGTTTGAACCATGAGCTATACTATTATAATAATTTTTATTTTTGAGCTTGCATTTACTTAAAGTGGGATTTAGCTACAGGTACAATATAGTAAAAATAACAGATATTTTCTGGTGAACACACTGACTGGCTGAGTCTGAGAACTGATAACAGTATGTGACTTTTAAATTAGCTTACCAATTAAAATAACCCTGTATGTTAAAAACATACAAGTCTCAAAGCTGCTTGAGTCAAGCGAGGTGCTGGGTTGGGTTTTGGGTGTTCTTTGTTTGGGTGCTGTCTCTTTGCTAGTCCTACGTGCACAGTAACGGGGTAAGAAGTTTGAGACTGCTGCTTGTGTTGTCTTTGTGCCATGGATGAGGTATCCAAATTCTTATCCCAAATCCTTAGTTTTTATTTAAATCTGATTCTTCAGTATATTATTTTCATTCTTTTACATAGTAAGCTATTCCAGTGATCAGTAAACTAATCATCACGAACGTGTTAGTTCTGTGAATTTATCTAGTTTCATCTTCTAAGCAGTTTCAGTTAAACCACTGACATAAAATCCATTCTTAACACCCAGAATATAAAAGTTAGTACAGGTCAGTAAATATCAGATGTTTTTAATTTTTTTAATTTCCTTTTTTTTTTTTTTTTGTTAGATTGTTCAGTCATTGGTATTTCTGCTGCTTGCAACACTCTTCAGTGCAGTGACCGGCCTCCCATGGAGTTTATATAACACATTTGTCATAGAGGAGAAACATGGCTTCAATCAACAGGTACTGCAGATAGCACTTACGCTGACCTAACGTCTTCAGTAGGTCTGGTTGGTCAGGTGGACTGGTATGTCCATATCTGTGCCAAAGATCATTGGTTTTAGGAACATTGCTACTCGTGCTGCATAAAAATAAAAGCAGTGACAGCTTGTGACTCTTGCAGAAGTACCCATGGCGCACCAGAATGTCTCTACGTGAGCCCGTGCCTCTGAGCAAAGAGAAGAATGTATTCTAGCAGCGGAACAGAGAACATTTCGTACCTCAGCTGTTCATTTTTGGATGGACTGTTCTTTGTCCTTCGTACGCCCTTCCTGAGAAGTCTGGATCACTGGTTGACAGGGGCAGTTCTGATTCGTGGACACTGAACAGATGAAACAAAACTGAGAAATTACTTTCCTCCTAATTTTGTTTTGCTTATTGGTTTTTTCTGTCAGCCTTTACTAAGTTAGAGAATTCAGCCTTTCATTCGTACTTCTATTAGGTACTCACTTAGTATCAGTCCTGGCTTTCTTAATTTCTCTCACCAACTTCGTTCAACCTGTGTCAGTGTCAGTTTCTCATAGGATCAGATTTTTGTTGTGGGAGAGGAACCTCACTCTGGGACACACCATTAGCTGTTTCATGCCAGAGCATGAGACTTGCTTTCTGCTTTTGGACCCAGTCCAAAGTGTTGTCGACAGCACGTTCTGTTCCAAGTTGATTAGGACATTCAGAATCCTTAAATACATCAGAAGCCGTCTTTCACTGTTGTCTGTCATGTCAATCCTGAGTAGTTGCATCAGGCCTGCACCTTGATTGTCTCTCCTGCCTTAGTGAGGAGTAAGTTCTGTCTTGGTGCCAGATCTGCAAGCCCTTTATGTCCAGGACACACAAGTCCAAAGACTGTCGGTATTGGGGCTTATAGGGCACTAGGCTTAGAGCAAACTGACAGGCTAGCTGGTGGATGGAGAGCTTTACTTCATCAGGCCTTGGTCAGGCCCTATCTCTGTGTAGAAGAAGCAGAGGGTCAAACACTGAACTGAGCAGCTTGGGCTTCTTTAAAACTGTCTTGAGAGCTTGCAGAATCCATGTGGTTCCTTTCATATGCTTTAGGGAGAGTAAGAAGGATTCTGGCTATATCCTCCCAACATTTTCTGTGCTCTCTGGGTGCTTCAGTGTTGTCAGGGCAAGCATTGTGCCTGATCAAATGAGAAAAGGACGACTTGGTACTGACACCTGTGGGTGTTGTCAAGTGCTTGATTGAGCTACTTGTATGATGTCTTTTACAAGGTTTTTTTTCACCACACTGGTTCTCATGCCAAGAACTGAAGGCTGAGTCCAACTCCAATCCAGTTTGAGGTACCAAAAGTCTTAGGAACACAGTCAAATCTCCATCTTTCATTTTGGACTGGTGGGCAAGGTCCTTTAGTGAATGAGCGAAATTCACACCTGGTACCAGACCAGACTTTGGAATTTCTAGCAGTGATTCTCAAATGATCTTCAGATAGACTCTTTCTTCCATGGGAGTGACTTGCTGAAAATGAGAATTTCTCTTGAAGTCAAGTCTGCCTTAGAAAGCAGGAAAGAGGTGGGCCAAAGACAAAAAACACCATGCAGTTTCACAGCTCTGCTCATCCTAGATTGTGGAGCTGGAAGTAAAGAAAGAGTTAAAATGAAAACTGGAGCTGAGTGGATTGTAGCTGACATGTTTCAGAAAGCCCTGTGGAAACTGTGCTGACAGCATGCTTCTGTTAAGAGTTATTCTAGGTTGTATGAAGTGACTGTTTCTTCAGCTGTTGCTAAGTTGAAAAATGAAAAAGCTGTCTATCAGGCCTTTTTCTGGCCGAGCTGAGGAAGTAATAAAGGAGGAACACACTGTTGCGTATTTTGTTTTCTCTCTCCTGGCTTGTACCATTTTAAGAGTCTTGATTAAACGGAAACAACTTTTCCGTTGTCCAGGATGACCCAGAGTTTCTTTCATGCTTCCCCACACCATTTTCAGGAAAAATGCTTTTCACTGCTTGGTGTGAATGAGAGTCACAAGTCTTGCTTTTCTAGTTACAGAGCTGTTTTGCTGGAAACGGCAGCCCACACTACCTGGGAATATTAAAGGCAGGCAAGGAGCAGTGTCTTCTGGAGTGCTCCATCTGTGTGGGCACGTGTCCGTGTGGCTGTGTTACTGCTGATACTAATGGGCGCTTAGCAAGGACAGACAGCCAGGGTGCTCGCTGAGGGACCAGAGCAAACATGTCTACATAAAGAATAGTCTGAAATTGTGGGTTTATGTCTGATTTGTGTTTCAGATAGTCATGGAAGTCTGAGGCATCTATCCAAATTCTTGCCCCAAATACTCAGTTTTTATTTAAATCTGTCTCACCGGTATTTTTTTTCTTTCCAGACGAGTTCCATATCTTTAACGTAGTATGGGCTTTTTAATACAACCTTGTTGGGAAGGATCTTTACATAATAACCCCCTCACTTCTGTGCCTTGCAGATAGCTGTAAGTACTGAAGTAACAATTCCTGAAAGAGCTAGCTGGGTGTCTAATCGTGTTGCAGAGTCACTAGATCAGATTCGTTCAGGTAGAGGTCTTTGAAATTTCTATTGCTTCTGTTAAAGTTACACTAATTTTAAAACCTGAGACTGCTATATGAGTAGTAACTGCATGTCAGGGGAAGCCTGAAGTAAAATGCCTAATATGTATCTACAAATTTTTAATAGGACGTCTATGTATTTCCAGTTAAGACAGTCAGCTCAGTGGTGACTGAAAGTTATGACGAGTGGAGGCAACTGTTCAAAGACAAAATATATTATAGTAGCTCTGTTTCTTTAAGAGTTTTTCTGTTCTTTAAAAATGCCATAATGCCTAGGGTATAGACTGGTAAAGGAAGTAAGAGACAGATTCCTCCTTTAGTGAATGATGTATGTGCAACGCAAAATAAGGGTTTGGGTCAGATCTTGCTAAGGAAGAGTGCATCTGCTTGGAGTCTGTGTGGGTGTAAAGAGCCACAGCTATCAGGAGAGGAGGTGAAAAAGTTCTTCCACCTTTTCTTAACTGACTGATTTCCTTACCACATTGATATTGCTGGTTTGCAATTTGTCTTATTTTGTTTCTGTGCATCCACTGAAGGGATCAGTTCATTAACCACTGTGGCACATCAATATTTACATTGAAAATATCACTAATGTCCTTTCTTTACAGACACTGGGATTTTTTTTTAAGGATGCTATCAAGAAGTTTGTCGTGACTCAGTGTATTCTGTTGCCAGTGACATCCCTTCTGCTTTACATTATTAAAATAGGGGGAGACTACTTCTTCATCTACGCCTGGCTCTTCACATTAGTTGTTTCCTTGGTGAGTATGAGAATATGTTTGGGTTTCTTCCAAATGCTAGCTTACCTGCATGGCTCACAGTGTGCTGAGGTTTAAAAACATAACTGAAAGGAAATGGAGAAAAACCTCCTGGGAATTTCAGTGTCTACAAACTTTAACAACGTGTCTTGCTCTCAGTGTACTTGTTCAGGAATAATAACTCATATTAGTTGTCTAATCCCCATGTAGGTGGTAAGTCTAGCTTACAGTTACTACTTTGAGTTCTTTCCAGCTTTTTTTGTTTGTTTGTTGGCGTAATTACACAGTGTTTCCTGTTGTTTTCTTGTGCTGGCTCCTGCTTTCTGAGTCCAGGTGTCCTTATGCTCTCACATCTTCCCTTTTTTTATTTCTGAATGCAGTCTGAGAAATCTTAGTGTTAGGTCTCAAAAAGGTAAATTAATGTGTATTGAAATGACAGGTACAGCAAGATTTGTGCAGACTAATCAGCACTTCTTAAAGAAATGTGCTTTCAAGCTTTGATCAGCAGTATACTCTTAAATCGTAATTCAGCATTTGAGCTACTGCTCTGTCAACCTGAGTGAAACAGTCCATACTTACAGATTACTCGTGTTGCCTTATTATTTGCAAAATTGGGGAAAAATAGTTCCTCATGAGATACCCAGTTCACATTTTAAGTCCTTAGTTTTAAAGGCTTTAAAGACTTGCTTTTTCGTAGAAGTATTATGCTGAAATTTTAAGAGCTGGTAGTTTCAGGATTGAAAGAAGATACAGGATTTTTTGAAATGGCCTGCCCTCATTTGTACGCTGAAAGCGAGAAATTTTTTCCTTAGCTTCCTTTATACCAGTCACTGACTGCTATTATTCTTGCCATCTTTAAAATATATATTGTAAAAAATGTTATGTGATCTCATATGAGAAACTCTCTGAATGTTCATTTTATAGTCTTTATCAAGCAAGTTTAGTAGCAAGAAAAGATGAAGGTGAGTAGTACCTAATAGTAAAATTCAAGGTGAGAACCAGAACATACTCAGCTGATACGACATTTCTTTCTCTGTCACTTTCCTATCACAAACCAGTATTTTATTTTTGCTTTGCCTGCCCCTTCCCGTTGAGCTGTCTATGTAGATTTTTTTTTTTTCCCTGAGATTTTACAGGTACTTTAGAAACTGGTAAAACAGGGGCTGGCCTATCTTTTACACAACAAATGCCAGAAAATAAAATATGTCCTGTCAGAGCTACAGAATTCAGTGCTGAAAGATAATGTAGCAAGACTCACTCTTTTCCGCTCCCCCCCCCCTTCTCTTCTCATTTTTCTCCTGAGGATTAAGTGCATGCCCAGTTAAGACAATTGGTGCTTTTCAGGTGTCTTGCAGTGTCACTGCAGCTTTAGAGGGTGTTGATCTTGGTTTGAGGCCTTAATGTGTGGGTTTGAGCAGTCTTTGACATACAAAAGAGATGTTTAGGGAAAAATTCCAGTTGTAACCACATTCCATAACTCTGTAATCATAGTTAAGAGTTGCATCCTTTCACCAGTCTGTTGTGCCTGCTGATATCAAGGGATTACACAAAGAACAGAGATTAAAAACTTAAAATTAGTCCACACACGCCACATGGTATGAGACACTTGTCTGGACTCAAACAGACAGCTGATCTCTGCTCTGTGAAATACCCTCCTACACTTGCTGCAAAACATCTGCAGAGCTTTAAACCCTTCTCTTAACAGTTACAGTAACGAAAATAACTTATTTTCTAGCAGTGTTTCATATTGATGCCCTCACTTGCTACGACGTTGGAAAAGTCAGTTTCCCTAGTTTTAGGTTTCACTGAACTTTTTCAACAGTGCAGATACTTTCAAAAGTCAAGGTACTTGTTTTCAGTGGAAAAAAACAGTCAGGAAGAAGTAAATGTTGATGTCCGTTTGTCTCTCATGTCCTGTTCCTTTTTTGCTAACCAGAATTAAAATTTTCTCCAGTCCTTTTCTTTAAAACTAATAAAAATCACTTTGTGAAGGTCCAGAGGGTGAGGGAAGGGAGTTCAGCTTTGCTTCCCATCACAGTGTTATTCCGGTCCTGGCTTTCTCATCTGGGCTGGGCTGCATCTGCTGCCGGTTTGATGAGATGTGGGTGCATTGTAGTGATTTTTGGGACATGGCTGTTAATCCTTGGGGACCGGAGACGTCAGGCAGTTCCTTAGCCCTGCATACAGCTGGGAGAAGGGGAATGTGAAATGAGGGATGTGAAATTTCATGCCTGTTTTAGACCGTGGCTTTGCAGGTTAGCAGGAATTTGAAGAAGCAGGACTGTCTCCTGGTTCAGTGGACCCTGCTGCTCGTGACAAGAGACTTCAGAGCCTTCCAGTGACAGTGACAGCCCGTCACTGATAAGACCATTGCTCCCGGCCGTTGTAGTGGCTTGGCCTTCTGCGGTTTGGCCCTCAGAGCAAAAACACCATTTACACCTATTCTGCTGAGGACTGTAGACTGTAGATTAACCCACCCCCATCTTGCTGTTGAATTGCTGGCTGTCAGCAGTCAAAGCAGCTGTCCCCCTAGATGGGTGACCCACAGAGCACCTTGCTAGAGATCACACTTCATACAGGACTCTGCTTTATCAAGTGTTTTTTCTGAAATTGTGTCCTCTTGTTGTACTTACTCATGTTCCACCTCTAGTACTGAACACACATTTGTATGCCTTGTGTTTAATATCTGTATGTGTTTGCAGGTGCTTGTTACAATCTATGCAGACTATATTGCACCTTTGTTTGATAAATTCATTCCGCTTCCTGAGGGAGAGCTCAAGCAACAAATTGAAACAATGGCAAAGAGCATTGACTTCCCACTGACTAAGGTGTATGTTGTTGAAGGTGAGGTTTTTTTAATAAAAAGACTTTGTAATTTTGAATTTGTGGACTTTGATTGTGGATGCTGTAGTAGGGCAGTTGCTTATATTCCTCAGCTATTGTAATACTTGTCAATGTCTGTACCATTTTCCTTTGATTGCCTCGAGGTCAGAAAAGTGGAGCTGAATGTGCAGCCTTAACTCAGCATCTCGTTGGAAGCGTTGGCTTAGCTCTGGGCAGTGGAAATACACAGTACAGTCAGAAATGGAAGCAGCAGTCAAGATTCCAATCTTAGAACTTTGAACCAGAAGGAAAAATTTCTTTTACATTTTCCAGTCTCAGTTTAGCATTAATTGTCTCCAAGTCCTTGATGAAACAGTTGAAAAAGTTATGAAAGTTAAAACCGCCTATTCCTTCTTAAGAGTGTTCATATGGACGATTTCTTATGGTATGGCTGAATGGACTCATACCTTCTACTCAAGGCTGTGATTTTTTCACTTTCTAGTAATGAATTTCTCGTCTTCTTTTCTTGGGTCATGGAATATAGCACAGAGCATGCCAGCTGCCATGTCACTTCCTCTCCACTTCCATGTTTGTGGAGCACTTTGCTCTTTGACATGTCCACTCTTGCTTACTTTGCTTCCTTTTGAACTTGATTTCAGGGACGTTCCCAAATTTTATTTTGGTTTTGTGCCCCACCTGTGAAGATCACAGGTGTGATTCTGTGATTCTGTTTTTATTGCCTTGGTGAAAGCAGGATGAGATGGCATAAAGGGGTGAAATGGTAGAATTTTGCTTAAGAGAGGGTGATGAAGGCTTTATCTAGCCTGCAAACTGTGGCTTTCAAAACTTTGGGCTGGCCACATCCAGCCAGGGACTACTACCATTGGTATACTTGGGGCCCAAGAAACTCCTCTCTTTCCTAGCGAGGTTGAAGCTTTTCAAGCTCGAGAGTCAGTACGGAGGCCTGCCAAACAGCTGAGTTTTTTCCCATGTGCATTGGTGGCTTTACCCTAGCTTTTAACCATGGTGGAAGTCCTGTGAGCCAGTGTAGGTACTCTGGCTCCTGTGTAGTATAGTGTACTACTGCATTAGCTTCTGCAGCATGTCTGCGTTCAGTGGCAGTGATCTGCAGCGGAGGCAGGCTGCCAAACCCCCGTGCTCTTTCCTGGCATCCTTAAGAGTGTTAAGCCAGCACCATTCCCTTCTGACATGGGGGACTGGATGTGTGAACATCTTTTTGCCAGTGTTTTTCTGCACTCCGTCTTGGCTCTTCCCACTCCAGAACTGACTTCTTGCACTGCTTGTGCAACCCAGTCCTTTAATTTCAGGGTTCATTCTGTAACAGTGTTCTCTACCAACATTTAGTGGAGGATGAAGTTTTTTTGTGGTACACAGATGAAAGGGAAAATTGCTACCCTGTGGCTGTTCAGATTTGTTCACTGAGAAGGGACTGGATGCTGAGGCTTCATGCTCTGACCAGCCTCTTCCTCCATTGGTCTGTCTTGGTTTGGTGCTGAAAGTTGCCGTGACTATACCATGGGTTGGCTTGCAACAGAACAATGGATATTTTGTGCCCTAAGGAGTAGATGCAGCTCATAGATTCATAGTGAGAGTCGAAGGCAAACTTCAAGTTGAAGTATCTTCTATTTTGCTGCAAAAAACAGAGCAACCCACCTCTTCTCTCATAGAGACCTCTTTCAGTCCTGATGTTGTAACAGGTCCTGTCCATAGGCAAAAATGGGCAAAGTTTAACGTCTGCTTTGACCTAAACAGCTTTTTAATCAACTGAAACAGTCCATGTTCCATGGAAAGGGATGAGTTCGTGGTGCCAAAGTATATTGATAGTAGAAACAGAGCATGATTCACCTGATGTAGATAAAAGTAGCTGTAAAAAATGCCTATTTCAAACAAAATAATTTTGAGGGACTGCCTGATATCTGTATTTCATCTCTTCATCATCTTCATGTCTATTTCTAACATCTTCATCCTACCTGTTTCGAGTCATCTTTGCTGGCACATTGAAAGAATTCTAAGCGTATTCGCCCCAAGTCCTTTGCCAGGAGGGCAGCACATGTTCTATGCAGAATGCTCTTTCCACTCTGAATCTGAAATTGCAATAGGAATTGCCTTTCTTTGGGATATTAGATAGTCACATGACTATTCTTATGCTTTTAGTGATTCAGTGTTACAGATGAAAAAAATTATTTCTCTGTTGGAGTCAGTAACTGAGATCATCAATACTTAAATCATTTTAAAGTATGCTTCAGCCTGCAAACTCATTTGCTTGAGTTTGCCTACCATTCATTTGGGGACTTTGAGAAATCCTTTGGAAGAATCTGTTCTGTGTAATATTGCGTAGTCTTCAGTGCATGGGATTATTCAGTTCATGGTCTTTAATGTAGATTTTCTCCATCAGGTTCTAAGCGTTCTTCTCATAGCAATGCTTATTTCTACGGATTCTTCAAGAATAAGCGGATAGTACTCTTTGACACGCTTCTGGAAGATTATTCTGCACTGAACAAAGAGCCAGCAGAGGGAGAAGATGGTGAGAATGAAGAGACAAAGTCTAAAACCAAAGTAAGTTCATCTTTGTTTTTCATCACATTATTTACATTAACTTCTTGGTGAGATATTCCCTTGTGTTTTCTGAATGTATTTTAAAGGTCCTGAATGAGATGCTAAAACCCCAAACCTAATGATTTCATCACCACAGTATCCCTGAGCTGCTAATTGGAGTTTCTGGAGCTGTGTGAGTGGTGCAGATAGCACCAAAGAGACTGCAGAAATCTGCACGGGCTTTAGCAAAGCATTGGTTCCCTGCATGTGAAAAATAGATCTTCTCTGTAAGTGTTTGAATAAGGGACCTGTTCAGGATTTTAGCTTGTGTTCCTTCTCTTGGGACAGCCACGCTGAAGCTTCTCTTTGCAGGAAATGCTTTTGCCTACCAGTGTGTCATTTGTACGCCTTTTACTACACGCAAGGATTTTGGTGCAAGAGGCACACACGCATGTGCGTGCCACATACAGATTGCACATGTGCATCCTCCTCTGCCCTCGTCAAGAACAGGATGACGGCCTTTCATTGTCCTTTCTCTTGGTGTGCAGCTGCACATCAGGAGTCTGCTGTAACAGCTTTTGTGGCTCCAGGAGAGTGTTGGGATGGTTAAAACCGATGGAATACGTTCTCAAGAGCCTGCGGGAGTAATTCTGAGAAGGTTTGAGAAGGCCTCCTGCAGCCTAGGGTTAGGCCAATGTATAGATTGTTGTTCCGTCCCACTTCTGTTTCTTGTAACCGTGTTGGTGGTGGAATTCTCTTTGTCCACGGTTTGGTATGGCATACTGCAGAAGTGGGTGAGGAGAGGAGCGGATTTTTAGCTCACCTGTACTGAAAAATTCAGAACGCCTTCTCTAGTGATAACGAGAATAGTTTGTTCCATTTCAACAGGTCCTTCAGCTATGTTCTCAGTACACAAGCCCACGTGCTTGCTTCTGACTTGCTAAGGTACCTTTGAAGGTACAGATGTCATATGCATGTCGTAGCATTTGTTGCAGGGGACAGGGATGTTGTCATCCATTTTTAAAGGAACAGCAGCGCCTTAGGAGGGAGTCTGCGCATTGAGTGTTGAAGGTAGAAGGGAGTGGACTTTGCTCCCAGTTCCCTGTTGAAAGTCTGTGGCTCTGAATGTCTGCTTCCATGTCATGCCTCTTCTTGAGTAAAGAAACAGGATGAGATCAAGGGATGGCAGGAGAGAGTTTGGAAGGCAAATCGGTACTCTTCCAGGTTTGCGTGGGCATGTCTGCATACATAGAAGTAAGAGAGCACCACCTCATGGTAGAAATCTTGTTGAACTTAAAAATTTAATTTTTTTGTAACTATCTTGAAAAAGGCTCAGTAAGAAATTTTATGTGTGTGTCTGCTGGTAGAAGCAAATGGCCTGATCTAGGGACACTTAAGTGACATAGGAAAAAATAAACTAGTATGTAGAAATCGGTTCAGATGTGTTCAGTTGTACCTGATACTACTTCTGCTTTGTATTATATGTGTCCTCAGAATAAGAAACAAGGATGTAAAAATGAAGAAGTTCTGGCTGTACTTGGTCATGAACTGGGTCACTGGAAACTAGGTCACACTGTCAAAAATATTATCATCAGCCAGGTAAGTTATGATAAACGGGTGGTTTTCCTAGAGCATTCTGTAATTATTGCTGTTTCCAAATGCCTGCTTCCAGATTTGTAAGTGTATATTCACAAAAGATACTTATGTTTTTATTTCTCTGCTGTATCTACAGTGAACATGCACTAGCCTTTCTGTCCCCTCCTCACTTCACCTGGGTGGTGGAAAGTATCTAAGAAAGCACGGCTGCTGCCATTTTAATGCGTCCCAGCAGCCTTCTGGAGTTGGGACATGTTTTTCTTGCTGTGTAACACTTCTTCCTTGTCTCTTTGAAACTCCCAGCCTGCTCTGAAGGTCTGTTTCCATCCCTGTGCTGGGAATAGGACTGGATGTATCCTGTCTCCCAGCCTGCCTGTTTTTAGGTGTTTATCATTATCTCTGAGAAAGCTATGTATCTGAGAGTCAGTCTTGTTCCTCGGAGGGCTGAGAAGGGATGTGATCGAGGATTATGAAATCTGACACAGGAGAGCATTCTTATTTCTATTGTAGTCTCATACCTTGTGCATTGATTAGTGGTAAATGACTTTATTGTGCCGTTCTTGGGGCATGCCCAAATGGGGGTGAACATTGAAGCGATCTCTAGAGACTGCCCGACCTTGCCTTTGACGAAAAGGAGCCTGATGGGCTGTTCACTCGTGCATATGGCTCTGGGCGTTGCACAACAGAAGGGAATTCCTCCCCCAAACATCCTGCTTCAAATTCTTTGATTTGTAAGGCACAGCTATGTGCCTTCTGTTAAATTACCGTCTGCAGCCTACTGTACGCTTTGGTGTAGATCTGTCTTGTTCCAGGTATTGCTCACCCTTCTTTTCTCCAAGTTCCCAGCCTTTTTCTCGTTTGTTTCTCTTAGCTGCCCTCCTGTGCACCTTCTGTAACTCCA